TGATGAATTGTTGGCTTGTAAGGCGTCAGTGAAGTGCCAGTTTGAATGTCATGGGAAGAATATTAAAGTCTCGCTATTCACAGCCGAATGTTTTATGCAATGTTTTCCAGCACGGAATTTGGTTTCATTGAAAGGCTCAACAGTGGCCGGTAAGTAAGATCATGCAGTCTTTTGTAGGCCGAAATTAGCGTGATAATTGGGGAGGGGATGCGTATTCATATATTCTCTTGTGCCCAACGGATTTCTTAATCTGTCGGACAGTCGGACAGATTGGTAGAATGAAAATATATGCTTCCCCCTTAATTTTCGAATCTAATTTCGGTCCTGCTTTTGTCAATATAAAGTAGCCACGTTTGAGATCTACATAATTTGTTTCGAACATTTTGTAAATTTGAAAGCTTAGTTTGTATCGATAATCTATTATCGCATGCAGTCCTCTATAGAAAGTTCATACCTCGCACGATTGTCTATGCATGCATGCAGTAGAGATAAAGTTTCATATGGGGTGTTGAAAATTGATAAAGTGGATTAACTCATAAGAATGTGAATATAATAGTATCACAAGAGCAACAGCATAAAATGCCTTACCCCTGCAGTCAAATTACTGTCATTGGGATTGAATAAGCACGGTTTCTATAAAACTAAATTGTAAAGCGTATTGAAAAAACTATGATTATTTGCCATGCATGCATGAGATTCGATTGTGCTTGTTTGCGCACCCGTGGCTTAGCAAATTGATCAGGCATTTAAATTATAAGAGTGGGTTTATTTCTAAAGGTCTTCTTTTTTCATATATACACCCTTATGCTGGTATTCATCATTGGTTAGGCATTTCAGCTACTTATTTGTGTTATCTGTGGTATGTTGTTGTTTAGTATACTTGAACATGCAGTATCCTATTAATTAAAAGAATACATGCATCAACAGCTGTGAGCAAACCTAGTGCATGTATATATATACACCCATTTGCAAAAACGTTGGCCGCAGATAGATAGATAGATAGATACTCGAAGTCTAATTAGAATTGCATATGATTACATTTGCATGGGATTTCAATCATATTAAACAACATGTGCAATTCTAATTAGATTTCGGGTATCTATCTATATATCTATCTGCGGCCAACGTTTTTGCAAACGGGCGTATATATATATATATATATTATATATATATATATATATATTATATAATATATTATATATATATAATATATATAATATATATATATATATATATATATACCACATGTAATATACACGCAGTATCAAAAAAGTGCAAACACTATATAGTTTCTATAGAATAAGTAGATCTTTGTCCTTCGGATAACACAAATTGAGTTATAATGCAAATTAGGAATATTATATAACTTCGGCTACGAATGGCTCAGCTGGCCGCAGAGCAAAGGCGAGAGTGCTTATCGTGTCAAATTACGCGAAAACACGCAGTGTTCAATAAAAATATTATTGTGTGTTTATGTACACAATTTACTTTGCTTGCATATGTTTTCGTTAGTAACACTAACCCTACGCCGTTACCGTAACCGTAGCATGATCAATTGTGTTTTACGCGCCCTCCATGGCCTTCGTTTGGTCTGTTTTAAAATTATGTAAATATCTGATTTCAAAAAGGTTTGTAGTTTTTTATACACCCTATGTACAATAAGGCTTAAGTCGCTTACTCGCTGCGTTAACAAATTTGTGCTGAGTTAACTCGTGCTGAGTTAACAAATTGATTCAGGGTTTGTGATATTTTCTGTGGAATATCTCCCTGGCAGCGCAAGTTTCTAATGTGTGCATATGGTTTTCAGGTTATGGTTTTCAAGTTATTGAACTGCCTCTTGATTGCTAACTTAGACAATATAGTTTTCGATTTTTTGTGCCCAATTCCAGTTGGAAGTATTTCATATATAAGCATGCAATATTTTCTCAAAGCCGTAGGAAACAAATGCAAATAAATTGGAGCAGAATAAATTTTTGCATGCTCGTAAGTGCCCTTTTTTTAGAAAGTGATATGAATTCAAGGAATAAAATTTCAGCTTTGAAATTTCAGCTTATTAAAGAGTATATCCTTTTTCGGCATACTGTAAGATTTAATTAATCAAAGTTAACGGGCGATTTTAAAGCGATTCAAAAAACCACTATCCGGTGGATAGCGCTTTACAACCGGCCTTGGAAGTCTTCGATAGTTTCGTTTTATATAATTTTTACCTAAATTAAACCAGTGATTAAACTTTTGCTTATTTCAACCGCTGCGAGTGTTAGCATTGTATGACTGTCAATCACAATGCATGTGTAATAAGTAACTAGCTTTTTCTTAAACGCAATTGTGAGTTGAGGATTTTCACCTTGTTGAAGCATTTGATGAAAATTATATGCGTGTAATGTGGTTAGTGCGCTTGTACATAGTTATAACGTGATTCGGTATTCTTAATCTCGCATGGGCTTGCACACGAAAATATATTCCCTTTTCATGCGTTCTTTGTTTCAGAGTGAAATGTCCATGATTGCATCAGCGAATTTGCCATTAAAACTTGCGTCGGATTTCTTAATTGGTGACATTTATTTTTAGTCCGTCTACGCGGCATGCCCTATAGATTGGAATTCTGCGCGTACAGCTGAATTATATACATTGCAGCCGGTTTGCATTCCCAAATTCTGTGGTGTAGGCGCCTTTCAATGACTGAAAGTGAAAAGCAATGTGTTCATGCACGGTTTTCATTTATAGTCGCTGCCGGGTTTCTCGATCAGAAGTATTCGGATTGGTAAATTTTCCGATGCACATTATGTTCCATTGTGCATGGCAGCAATATAGGTAATAAACATTGGCGGTGTATAACTGCATGAATGTAAAAATGATGAATGCCAAAAATAGGCTGGATTTATATTGCAATTATATACACTCGCATGTGCATGTCAAGGTTGATTCGCGCCAAAAATTTGAAAGTGGCGCGAATTATAGAATTAAAAAAATGGCGCGAATAGAATTTAAAAACGGCGCGAATAGAATTTAAAAACGGCGCGCTTATATAGCTATAATGGCGCAGTGTATACATGAGTAATTGAATATATTTGAAGTTATATGTACCAATTCATATAGCATATGAAATTTTTTACTCTAGATGGTTGTTATAATTAATAGCTAATTCTGATATCGAAAGGAGGGAATAAATGTTTCGCTACGATTTGAACATGCTACATATAAATGCAAGATATAAGATGTAAGTTGAATTGGTGTCCGTCACAAAGACATATCGTAACATATGCAAAGGAAAGATGTATTGATTGAAACATTTGTATTCCAATGGTTATGATTCGATTCATTGAAAATTCCAGTACGGTCAATCGATTAGCAATTGGGATAGTTCAGTGTTAATACAATGCAAATTTGCTGGTAAACTCGTATCATATCGTTCTTAAAGTTCTTATATTTTCCATACCTTATCTAGCTGATTTCCCTCTTCAAATCTTTCTTAACGTTTCGTTTTGAACGTTTATCTGTTTCTTCTGCAGGCTTTTCTTCTGTCTGTCTTCTAGCGTTGCTGGTTGCAAGTGCGCTTGGAAATGGTGATCGCGCAGTTTTTAATGCACCATTGCTGTAATACGATATTTCTAGTTAGTCATTTGGCGCCAAAAAAGTGCGCCAATTATTCATTCAAATAGTAATCCTCGGATAGAGGCCTCTAAACGTCGCAGTAAAATTTCTTACTATTGAGACAAGAAACATTTTAAGGCAACGTGCATGACAAGTAATGATATATCGTACAAGTGATTTAAAAAATGTTGAATAGCTTTGCTGTATCCTTTAGTGTAAATAGATATTCACGAGTTAACATGAGCTCTCCTATTTTAATACCGGTATCATTATGACTAATTTGGCTCACTTAAAACGCATGTTGCATTTATTTTTTAATGTTTAACGGTGAATTTATCGTGCATGCAAATAATAATTACAGAACAAGACAAGAACATGCAATTGGCACTTAAAACGCATGTTGCATTTATTTTTTTAATGTTTAACGGTGAATTTATCGTGCATGCAAATAATAATTACAGAACAAGACAAGAACATGCAATAGTTGGCTAATACTAAGTTCTAGGATCTTATTCTATTTCTTACTGGGAAAAAAACGGTAAAAAAATGTTATAAAATGATTCTCAGTTTTAAGACAAATACATTGTTTTATTTTTTCAGGCAAAGGAATATTTCATTACCTAAGAACAACCACAGTTCTCTGCTCATTTTGCTGTGGGGAGTCTGCATCACCAATAACGAAGGGCGAGTATTTAGAGGTGAGAGACAAGTAGCGTTAAGAAAAAATATCTTTGAATAAAAGCTATGTTACGCGGTGCAATTTTTCTTGCAACTTGCATTGCAATTCTACTTTTAAGAGATGTAAATTAGTGAAGAGTCTTAAATTAGTAAGTGTAAGAAACGCCACGAAGTGTAATAAAGACAAAAGTTCGGTAGTTGCCAAATTTACATCTCTCAAAAGAAGAATTGCATTGCAAGTTGCAAGAAAAATTGCACCGTGCATGTAACATGGCCTTAACATCATGTGTGGATTTTCGTGAGCCTGCATGATTCACAGTAGTCGTAATTCGTCGGCTACCTATGCATGGTATTCTTATGCGGCAGACAAAGCATTAACCCACTTGTTAATATTGTTATTCGACCTATCGTTAACAGAGATCCCGAAATTCTACTAGATACTCAATCGTGCATTATTAGTTATAAGTATACTTAATACTTGTTAAATTCTTGAATAATTAATGAAGTTTATACCCAACCAAATTTTGTGAATTAGGTCATATCACACGCTGTATACACCATACAATTAAGATGAAAAATACAACCACTAGTGTGTGGAACTGATTTGCATATTTATTAAAGCATCTCAAAGCAGCAATGAAATGGGCATTTGAAAATTTGTAAGCATGGGAGTATAGCGTAAATTAATTAGTTTTCTTTTACGGTTTAAAAGTTTCTTTTGTCCTCCTATCAGGGGAGTAACTATATAAAACGATAATTGGGGGCAGGTGAATATTCAATGTAAGCTATTGCACTTACAAAAGAAATCCGTCGGCTATATAAATTTTCACCCCACCCCCAATTAACGTTCTAATTGCGCCACTGCCTCCATGCACCATGCATGTGTATATTAGCTATATATCTACTTATTGATATTAGTTTCACTACATGTATTTGTCACTTTTTTATTGTAGAATGTCTGTCAAGAAAAGTAAAATTAAAGCCGTTGTCTATGGTAATGCCTCCATATTGTCAGGAAAGCAATTTACTGACGCTGTCAACAGAACACTGAGTTCATTGGTTTTTGTCATTTCCATACAACTCAATCCAAGGAGAATTTTCGTCTTCCCAGAAGCGGCATGCGCCAGGCAGAGTATAAACAACATTTATAAATGATGAGTTGCCAGACTGGTCACAGTTATTGTTTTCGGCAGAGACTTTAACGTAGAGAGACTCGTGTTCTTTGATGCTGATCCGGTGTCGTCGGCGTAAATGATCTGAGATTCTTGAAACTGGAATATTGTAATATCGACAGCCAGGTACATGGCAGGTTCTTCTTGCGTGACGGTCAGCTGAGGATTTTGTGCAAGTCCTTCTTATGGCACTTGGGGTTTGGTATTTTTGATGCTGCGCCATGGTAATAGACGGATGAACTCTTTTAAGATGCCTGTCAAGTCGTTTAAAGAACAATCCATGTTGTGTACAGCCCTCCACTCGACAAACGCCGCTCTGAGGCATGCTGTGTTACAGTATTGCTTGTGTTTATTATTAATGGTGATTATTCGTTCAATGTTTTGCAAGATGTATAGCTGTCTATCATATGACTCAGAATTCGAATCGACGAACGTTTTGGCGGGCTTTGTTTGTAAATTTTCCCGCGCCTTATTGTGGTCATTAAAATTCCTTTCCTGATATAGAATTACAAATCTGATGTTCAATCATTTAAATTTTTTTGCAACAAAACATTCCACAAAGCATTCCAAAGTTGATGAAATTGCAAAATCAAGTTTCTGTCATATTTCTGTCAGTATCATCAAATTTATGACATACCTGTGGTCTGATTATTTCTTCAACGTTTCACGAGATGTACAGAATGTCCGCAAAAAAGAACCCTTTTCAAGTTTTGTCAGAGTTTGAATGCTTTATCATTATGCCAAACAATTGCAGCTGTTGTGTAAAAATTGGAAAACTGAACCATAGACCTTACCATATAGTGATCAGGCGCGTTGAATTTCGAGCCAAAGCTTGATGGGGTCAGGGTTTCCACAATATTGACAACCACAAGGGAGGGAGGGATCTGTGTTAGTAAGATATATTATGCAATCTTTTCAAAAGTTCTTTATTGCTTTTTTTTGTCATTTCTATCTCCCTATGAGGACGGTCATATGCAAATAAGTTGTGGATGGGGTACATTTTTCCTGTAACATATAGCTGTGATATTTTCTACCAGTACACTTATTTTATTGCATTATACTCTAAAGGCAGAAATAAATCAACGCAGCTTTTGGCGGGCTCTCTTCATACATTTTCCCAAGCCGAATTTGGTAGTCCAGATTGCTCTACTAATATGTTCGGAATTACAAAAGGCTCTCCTTCAATGTTAATTGCCAAAGAGCATTCCAAAGGTGGAAAATTTGAAATCAAGTATTTCTGTCAACATCACCATATTTACGAGTCAAGGTTATAGTGGACATACCAAATCTAAAGCATGGGGTATATAATAGAAGATTTATTATTGTTTTTTGTGGCTTGCATGCATGCGTATCACTGTTTGTCAGAATAAAGATAATAATTTATTCTCGAATCTGCCGTTTTAAATACCTCGTAAAATTCGTCGTAAATATTCTCTTTCAATGGCTCAGAGCATTTTTTGTTTTACATTCATAAAATTGTAGTTATAAAACCTAGCATTACTATCCCAAAAATCAGACCAACAGTGATTCGTAACAACCTATGCATGTGATGCAAAAAGTGCCCTAATTGTGCTCCCATATGTGGGAGACGAAACATGCAAGGTAAATTTCACCACACATATATCTTCAGTTGTAAGCGTTCGCCTAGCTAATAAGAGTGTCGACAGAAAGGTTAATTATATACCTAATTAAAATTTTTTCATCACTCGGAGTTTCATCTGCTGCGCTTACACAGTACAACTTAAACAGGGAAAAGCGGGCACGTTTGTTTTCTCAATCAAATTCTGAAATGGAGGACTTGAAAAATTAGTTCTGTGATTCGTGATTTTCATCGCATTTAGAATTGACCGTGTCTCGCACGCTCGGTGACGGTTTGATGAGAAACCTGCTGGGCAGAATTACTTGTGTTAATATGACCTTCAGAATGACATTGTGAACCCCACATAGGATGTGCACGGTCAGCCTTCAATTTTGGTCAGAAATATTGATTATTCATTATATACGAATATTTGGGTTGATTTGAAGTTTTATGAGTTGGGCAATATCCTTGTATTAAGAGTACTCAGTTCGTTCACATTCAATGCAATGTTTCCTCGGTATAGATTGTCGATATTAAAACATGCATGCAGTACGGAATTGGTCATGTTTAATTAAATTGGTATGCGTATATATAACATTCTTTGTTCGGTCCTTACCCGCGTCCATGGATAATCAAATGCAACACTGTCTTTCTAAGGTAGATGGTCCTGAAGCCATAAAAGATTTCTCAACCCTACTCAGATGTTGATTTCCTCTTCCAAACAGCGTTTTCATTTCGCGGAGATGAAATCTGGTTATTCCACATTCCGAGTTCCGTTGCAATCCTAAGTTGGCCCGGTTTGTCACAACACATATATTTATCCGAACAACACCATGCATACACTTGAGTCTTCTCAACTGTACAACTTTGAAGCATTTATTCAATTTTAAAAGTTCGGCAAGCAGTCAAGTACATCAGAAATCATGCTTACAGATTTTGTTTATAAGAAAAGGGCAATCTTTTTGTGTTGAGAATACTTTGCATATTCAAGGCTATTGACTAGTATTGTAACTTCCCAGGGCCTGTGACATTTTTTTCAGTGCAGGACCCCTAATCTTTCCTCTCCGGCCCAGCGAAGCAAATTTGCAATTCCCTGCGATAGGTTAAAAAATTATTGAAATAAATCGAGATGTTTATCATAATTCCAAAAATTGCCTTTCCTTTAAAGGTTTAAAAATCAAAACGTGCATAATGTACATGTACATCAATTGGAACTGTCACTGGACACATGCAGTTTTAACGATATTTTACTTTTGCGTCCTTCTGGCTTTTAGTACAACTGAGTCATGCGCGGCCTTGAGTAGATGCTCTTCTGCCATATGGGAAATCCGTATTATCATTTCCAATAGCGGCGGAATATGAGTTATATTAGCGGGGGGGGGGTTGTGTACCGGGCTAAAACCCAATTTGCAAAAGAGAATCGCCGCCTCTTGTAAATTCCGTTCCCTCATTTACGTTCACGTTTTGCCCCTGACAAGTCCATTTCGGCAATTCTGAATGGAATTTATCCTTTATATAGAGTCTTTAAAATATATTATGAAAGCGCTTTTTCTAAACATCCACGCCCAGGGGTAATTATATCTGAAATATTGCAGGGGCTTAGGTCTCCCCTGACACTTCTTTTCTCGGTGTTAAAAATTTTAATTGATGAAAAGACATGTTTAAGATATTATATCTAGTATTCTAGTTCTAGTAATATTCATAATAATTTTTGTTCATTTGTTACACAGTCTGCAGAAAATTTTACACCTTCGAACCTCTTCAGGAAAACAGACACTCTAAAAGCATATATGGACATTTAGCCGGAAAGTTTGAAAACTGTTCATTCCGCTTTCCGAGTTTCCGTCGCCATCCTAAGTTGGCCTGGTTTGCCACAACAATTTTTACATTCATGGCATGCGATCAGTGATCTCTAAATCTTAATTTGCAAAACTTTGACATCAATTGTGAAGTACTTCTAGTACATATAAAAGCTTTTCGCAGGATAAGTTCATGAAGATTTTGCGATAATTTTCTGTTTGAAATCGCAAATATTTTAGTTCTATTTGATGACTAATTACGTATGAATTGGCGTATGACCTATACTTATGACCTATACTATAGCATAGTATAGGTCATAAGACTAATTACATATTGACTGGCATATACTATAGCTATATACTTAGTTTTACTGCTATATAATTTATGGAATACGGTTAAATCAGTAAATTGAAACAATCGCACATTTGCAATGTAAAATAGGGAAAGGAACCGGAATCTTTTGTATTTGCCACACAATTTGAAGACTACTCAGACTCCGGATTACTCAGACAGTATACAACTTGTGTCGATGAAAAACACGCAAATAATTTGCTGCACGCCTAAACAATTTGCCGTAATTCTACACACATCAACTTATATGCTTTTAACAGAACGATGAAATGTTCTGCCAGCGACGTAATATCACCTTGGCCTGATTCAGTGCCAAAACTGTGGGCCGTGTTACAAACAATGAGTATGAAAACTGATAATTACTAGCGTAGTCTGCAAAAATATTAAAGCCTGGCGTCTCTACAATGTGTTTCAGAATAGCTTATAATAATTGTACGGTATAGTCGCTATAAAGTCAAGCCAGTCCGCGACTCCGCGTGGACGTTTTGTAAAAAACCTCAGTCTTTTGACTAACGAATCCGTAAAGGTAACTTGCTATAGTACGCCTTTATGTCACATTGTTTTTTAACTCCACCTTTGTTTAACCTAGAGAATTTCCGTGATTTAAATTCACTTGCAAGGGTACAAGGTTTAGACGGTTATAGCTATTATATGCGTCGGCGCGTCTTATATATAATTATTGACTGAAATATATTCAGTCAATAATTCTTTATTTATTAATTTATTAAAAAGTCTTTATTTATTAATTATTACGAGTTTGCCGGCAGCATGGGATTTAATGTTCTTGGTGTATATTAAATTAAAATTGTGCATGCTGTAGTATAGCTATCCAGGAATAAATCTGATATTCTACTCAGCTTACTACATTTTTAGACATGACCGGGCCCATTTCACATTCACGTCCTGCAATTCAGACGAATTCCGCAATCCGCCACACCGCCACAAGTTGGCCTGATTTGCCACAACATACTTGAGCTTAAAAAATAATCATATTGGCGTTAACTTTATAGAGGACAGGAATGTGTATACTGATAATGTTATTGCGTTTGTACAATTTTTTTGTTAACAATTAAGCTGCTCATTTTAGCAAATCGGTTGTTCTGGGGGCTAGTAAAGTAATAGATTAAAATCATAATATTCTTGTACGTTTGCATGTTAACATCAAATAAGTAAATTAGCTTGTAGGTACACCACGTAAGTATTTAATACTGCAAAGCTTTCAGTCCGTTAACCCGGGCCTTCATCCCTTATATCTGAAAACCAGGGAGCAGCGTGGCAGCGTCTTCAAACAACTTAGCATCAAATGTGGTATAACAACTGCCTAAAATACTAAAAATAGACAAAACACTTCTCGACGTTTCAACCTAAAGCAGTTTTCCACCAGCGATATTTTTCGCGCGAAGCAACTTTATTCCTTTGTATTTGAGCAATGTGTTCCAGATGGTTGCAGTTGAAAGCTCTGGAACAAAAGTAAAATGTCGCTTCGCATGAAAAATATCGCTAGTGGAAAACTGGCTTAAGGGCCTTCGCCAGGAGAGTTAAGGCGATTCTCCCGCGCGGGTGAAGCGGGCTTTGAAATTCTGTCTATGCGACCCTGACGGGCCTGAAAAACAAAGCGCGCTTCGCCCGCGCGGGCGTAGCGGACGTAATGGAGAATCGCCTTTAATGCCCTAATTCCACGGGCTAAATTTTCAAGCGAAATGCGAAATATTTCGCCTGCTTCTTTTGAATTGTGAGCAATGAAGCAGAATTAATTCATTCAAGTGGTCGAAATTCAAAAGAAACAGGCGAAATATTTCGCATTTCGCCGAGAAAAACCGCCCGTGGAATTAGGGCCTGATTCCACGTGCGCTTTTTCTCGGCGAAATGCGAAATATTTCGCCAATTTCTTTTGAATTGTGACCACTGGAATACATTACTTCTGCTTGATTGCTCACAATTCAAAAGGAGCAAGCGAAATATTTCGCATTTCGCTTAAAAATTTCGCCCGTGGAATCTGGGCTTTAGGCCCTAAGGCGGATTTCCACTTACAGCGAAATCCTTCGCTAGCGAAATATTTGCATATTTTCTTTTGAATTGAGAACAGTCAAGTCGCACTAATTTATTCATGCTGTTAAAATTCAAAAGAAAATTTGCAAATATTTTGCTAGCGAACGATTTCGCTATATGTGGAAATCCACCTTTAGTATGAAAATAAATAGGGGAGAATACATGTTTTGTAGGGGGGCAAAACACGCGATCAAAATGGGCCAATAGAAAACAAAAAATCAAGACAAATTGGAATACATTACATTGCCGAAGAGACGCCTGGTTGTGGGCTGAAAATAGCCCGCAATGTGGGAAGCCTGATCAGCAACGAAAACGTATTACTTTTTAAGTTTTACTTACTTACCTTTTCAGCTTTATGGATTCTCCACTAAGGGAAGGGAGGTCTGCTGGGAGTGGATTATTATTGCGTTAAAACTAACAATTAGGGATGTTATTATTTTCGACAAATCTAATTTTTCATACCGAAGTAATTGATCGGCGAATTGGCGCTCTTTTTTGAAGGACTTAGCTTGATTTTTTAATTATGGAAATTATTCTAAAATATGGAAAGAATACAGTCAAACTTTGCAATAAATTTGTTTTCACATAAAATACTTGTTGTGCTTACATGGAATAGATGGATGTGAATGCTAGAATAAACAGT